ATGTGTCCCTGCTCCCCAGGTGTCTCCATGCACCTCTGGACTCCAATCCCTTGGTGACCCCACATGTCCTGCTCTCCAGTCTCCATGTGTCCCCATGTGTCCCTGCTCTCCAGTCTCCATGGGTCCCATGTATCCCTGCTCCCCAGGTGTCTCCATGCACCTTTGGATTCCAATCCCTTGGTGACCCCACATGTCCCTGCTCTCCAGTCTCCATGTGTCCCCATGTGTCCCTGCTCTCCAGACTCAATGTGTCCCCAGGTGTCCCTGCTCTCCTGTCTCCACGTGTCCCCACATGTCCCTGCTCCCCAGTCTCCACGTGCCCCACATGTCCCCGCTCCCCGGGTGTCCCCACTCCCTGCCACCAGCCCGGGGTGTCCCCAGGCGCCCCGCGGCACCTGCTTGTTCATGAAGCAGTAGATGATGGGGTTGTAGACGCAGGAGCTCTTGGAGAAGAAGGCAGGGATGGTGACGAGGCGCAGGTCGAGGCCGTGCTCGCGGTTGTTCACCATGTACATGGCGAGCGCCGCGTAGGGCACGTAGCACACGCAGAAGGAGCCCACCATGACCACCACCATGCGCGACACCTCGCGCTCCGCCTTCTGCGTCGTCGCCGACTCCTGCTGCTGCGCGGCCACCTGCGCGGCGCCCACGTGTCCCCACGCGTCCCCACGCGTCCCCACGCGTCCCCCTGCACCCGGCGCTGCTACTCACGGCCCGCAGGGCGCTCAGCAGCTGCGAGTAGGAGAAGACGATGAGCGAGAGGGGCACGATGAAGCAGAAGATGAAGAGGAACCACGTGTAGTACTCGCTCTTGTACTTGGTGCCCACCGTGTACCAGTCAGGGCCGCACGAGCACTGCAGGCCCTCGGGGATGTACCTGCGTGGGGCGCGGGGGGGTTGTGGGGGGCCCTGCGGGGTGCCCTGCATTGCACCCTGCATTGCACCCTGCATTGCACCTTGCATTGCACCCTGCATGGCACCCTGCATTGCACCCTGCAGCATGCCCTGCATTGCACCCTGCATGGCACCCTGCATGGCACCCTGCATGGCACCCTGCACTGCACCCTGCAG